TCTATCTATCTATCTATCTATCTATCTATCTATCTATCTATCTATCTATCTGTCTACCTATCTATCTATCTCTACATGTAAATGTTTCTTTTTTCCGTTGAACTTTTGTGAATGAAAAATTGAAAAAATGTATCTCATCATTGTCAAGAAGCGTGAATATATGATCACATTTACAATAATTAGAACTGTAGTGAATGATCTTCTTATTGTTATCAGTGTTGTCATGATCATATGTAGTATAGCAAAATAACTAGAAATGATAAGCATTCTACAGAATGAATCACAATGTTAAGGTAGGTATTGATTTGCTACACTTTACTTGGAATTGTGCAAGAGTACTGTCAGGGATAAATGTTGTGTAAGCAATAACATAGTTGACAACAGCGTGTGCCAGAGTCCAGTCCTGTCAGGTTGGGGTCTTCTGAACCATTCAGACAGTTAAAGAATCATTGCTGTCCTTGGGCTTGAGTTATTTACTCCATGGCTTCAGCTAATACTTATCCCAGAGTTCTTTTTTCTCTGGACTCCTACTATGTATCTGAGGAGCTCGGCTTTGTCCTTCCAAAGCCTCTGGTAGGTGAAGAATTTTTTATGACGTCTGTATTTGAATGATTACCTTGACAGTTAAACTGAGACGCTGGTTGTCTGACAGCCAGGAAACCTTCAGTCTAAAATTCAACGTCTATTTTTTAAATCTCTTTTTATGACTCCCTCTGTCAAATTTAATGCTGTTGTGTTGTTTGTAATCCAACCTTAAAGATTAGCATTTCCTCATGTCTTACTCAGAAATTAAATATCACTTCTGCAGGATAAGCTGCCCCCTTACTACCAGCCGTGGATGGATGTTGCCATGCATGTCCCAGAGCTTGTGCAAAGTCAAGAGTTACGTTCACATGTTAACAAGGTAAAAGGGGATAATAAACTGACAAAGAGACTTCTCTTTATTTTATCAAGATGTGGGTCAAAGGTTGCTTTATTTTATTTTTTTTCTGCCTGACAAGATGGCTCTGCTGAGCACTGAGTTTCTGCAGAAGCACAGAGAGTTACGGCTGGCCCACCTGGCCCTAAGCATGATGACCATGGGATATGTCTGGCAGGAAGGAGAAAACAACACTGTTAATGTAAAGCTGGCACAGTTCTTCTTTTCCTCTCTTTTTTTCTTACTGTTACCAATTGTAAACCTTGAAAATGCACAGTTGGTATGATTAATTTTCCATATTTAATCTCCTTATAAGACATTGCCAAGTAGCCTGGCTGTGCCATATTGGGAGGTGTCTCAGCGCTTAGGGCTTCCACCAATTCTCACCCATGCAGATGCAGTTTTGGCAAACTGGAAGAAGAAAGACCCAAATGGGTAAGGCTCCTCACTTCCAGCAGTGTTTTGATCCGATTCAGTGTACGTGTGCTGTTAAACATCTTCCTATTTTTACTTTCACGTCCATCTTTAAATCCCCTGTGCCAGACCTTTTACCATGGAGTGAGTATATTTCCATTCTACATTAGCTCATACCAATATTGTACTATAATACTATGACATCTTCAGTTAATCCGTTCCCTTACTCTTCGCAGGAACCTTGATTTGTTGGTCAGCCTCCCAGGTGGGGAGAGCGTCAGAGGTTTCTTCTTGGTCACTTTGCTGGTGGAGCTGGCAGCTGTTCCTGCACTGAGGGTAAGTACATATAAAGAAATACCTCAGTAGCAAAAGCATGGTTGAAAAACACTTGAAATATAGAGCTAGGACAGCGGAAGTATAAAGTATAAAGCTCCTTTGTAATTCTATTTCAGAACATTCCTGTTGTCATCAACGGTGTGAGATGTTGTGACACTGAAGCTGTGGCCAGAGGCCTGGAGATCATAAGCCAGTCAATACAGGACATGACCGACACTCTCAAGCTGATGCATGGTGATAACTCAGGCATTCAGTGAAATGTGATACAGCTTTGTTTACAAGAAATTTCATGAATGGTATTTTCCTCAAGTGTATGTGGAGCCGTCGGTCTTCTATGGCATTATGAGGATCTACCTGTCTGGGTATAGACTTTAATCTCTCTCTCATTAGTCGCTTAATAATACAGTGAGAGCTTCATTTGAGCCATACATAACCACATCATAAGTCAGTTTACTCATATGCAGGTGGAAAGATAACCCGGGCATGCCAAACGGTCTGGTGTACGAAGGTGTGCAGACTGAGCCAATGGAATATTCTGGAGGGAGTGCTGCACAGAGCAGTCTACTGCACTGCTTTGATGAACTTTTGGGCGTCAACCATGAAGAAAAGAGCCGTGAGAAACCTTATTATTTATCATTTGAATAATTACAATGCTGGGGATGAGTGTGAATGATCCAGTTTTTTCAGGTTCCTTCCTCACGCGCATGAGGAACTACATGCCCCCTGCACACAAGAAGCTGATCCAGGACATCTCTTCACAACCATCCCTGAGGAGTTTCGTCCAGCAACAGGCCAGCGAGCGTCTAAACCAAGCCTTCCGTCTCTGCGTCTCGAAGCTGTTGGCCTTGCGAAGCTACCACATTAATGTTGTGAGTCGGTTCATCACTGTACCCGCCGCACAAGCTCGGCGCCTCCGTGAGCAGAGCCAGAGCGCAGAGGGGGGGGTGGTCAGCAGAGCTCCCACAGCCCTGGAGGCCACGGGCACTGGCGGCTCCGGCATCATGACCTTCCTCAAAACAGTGAGGGACCACACGAAAGACACCCTACTGCCTGAAACGAGCAAAGAAGTAAATCACCACAGTTGAAATGTCATCACAGATGAGCCCGTAAATCGTTTCTGATAACTCTGATACACATTTATTTTTCTGTCAATAAAAAGTTAGCGATTCGTAAGAGTGAATGTGAGAGGCTTTCGTTGTTTGTCTGACCTGAAACTGGCTGCAAACACACTTCGGCCGGATTTCCAGGAGTGACAGCAGTCTTTCAGTCCAAACCCTAATTCTGATATATTCCCATAGCTTTCACTAAATTCAACCACTAATTCCTTTTCATTCTGCAATGGAATGAACAAGAATTCATAAGGCATCTGTTCCAGACCCACCTATCCAAAAGCCATTTGGACATTAGACAACTGAGGTCATTACTAAAGTGCTTATTTTAAAAAAGATTGTGGAATTAATTTGAAATGGATTTAAGAAAAAACAAAAAAACAAGAGCGTTCTTGTCGGAATCTTGAAATTCTGGTTGCACATAAGTGTTCCTCATCATAGGCTAAGATCACAAATACTGTTTTTCATAGCAAATTCAGTGGACATTTTCAGTTGTTTGACAGAAAAATCATTGGTAAAAATTCCATAAAATGACATGCTGCAATACCTGAAGAAGCCATATCGTGGCAGTGAAGGGTAACAATAGAACAGAACGAGGAAAGACAGAGTGCCTTTAATTTACCATAAAGCGATGGCTCAGCGCACCAAAGCCTTGCTTCTGATTTTACCCTGTCAGACATAGTCATCATGAGTTGAATGTGTTTTAAAATGAACTGAAATCCACACTCCCCCCTTTGAAGCATCAACAGGCTAGAACAAAATCTATCTCATGTTAGAAAATAATCATCCATTGTTGAGTCTCGGTTCTGCAGTGGTGCTCTACAAATGGGTGGTCATGTCCAAGCACAATGAACAATGCAGAGCAGACATGCATCACCTATCAGAGTGGTTACCTCAGCTCTCCTGCCTTTCTCCTCCATCCCACATCCAGCCCTCACATGCCTCACTTTACTTCCTGGACCCAGTGTGTGGAAAACCCGGTGCAATGAAGGGATGAATTGTCTCATGAATGACTCGTACTGTGTAATCTTCACCTTCACTGGCTCATCTGCACGGGTGTTTCATTACAATAACAGTCTCGTAAGATCAGATAAGACAGAGAATGAGCAATAAAACATGACAATCCCCCCGATGAAAGCAATTTACTTTATCTTGGGTTCTTTTTTTTTTTTTTTAAAAATCAGAAATCAACTACACATGTTGGGATTTTACCATGAAAATTATTTAGGTAAGACTTTTGGAACATGCATGAAACTTTAAGGCATTCTCGCGTTTTTTGTTCTCCTGATTGAATGGACAGGGAGGCCTGAGGTGAGGAGGTGAAAGGTGAAACAGAAACTGCGTAGGGATGAAGAGGGACGTACGGGTGGCGGGGAGGAAAAACAGTATGTTCACATTATGGTGATCTGATTAGAGCCTTTTTCCACGGCCAAAGCAAATAACCCTTTTTCCTTATTGCCACGTATGTGGAGGACTCCCTGACAACCCAGAAGTAAACAGAGGCCATCTCTAAGGATGTCTTCATTGTGTAGACGAGGCTGGGCCTGTGAGGCCACTGAAGTTTCACCTCTGGTCACATGGGTGGTCTCAGCATAGCACATGACACACCTGTTTTATTTATTATTTTTCTTGTAGGGATACAACTCTGAAGCATTTTTTTATGTACAAGTATCACTTTATCATTAAATGATGATAATATCTTGGTTTGAATGTTCCAAAAGAAATCAAATACTAATGTACAGTTGCAGCTTCGAGTGAACTGGCCAAGCAAATGCTTTTAAGAATTAACTCGGAGAGCGAAGTGCACGGTTTTCCTCCATGCCAAAGGGCATCTGGTGTCACTCTTGTTTTCATGAAATCTGCTCAAACATCCACACTCCATCTGTCAGACCCGACAGGATTACAGCAGAGGGTTGTCCTTCGGGTCAGACAATCGGATATCTGTGCCTTGGTGGCTAACCACAGGATATCCTGGATCTGTTATTTCAGAATTGAATTTATGATGCTGCTGCTTGCATCAAGCCAAGCAAAGCCAGGAACTTTTCTCACCCCGTGAAGTGAGCAGCTTAAATGGCAGCAGGGAGGGACCGATTGTCTTTGGCGTTCACAAGACGGGTGTAGCTGGGAAGTGCGGGCTGCATGTGCAGCACAGTGGGTTACTGGGTGTTTCTTCCACTTTGCACTCATCTTAACTTCACTATCTTTGTCAAACATCTGTGACTACACACCCACAGGTCTTCATCATTTGCTAATGGTACACACCCTACCGTTAGAGTTGGTGACATTTTTTGATTTTTTGAAGCCTACATAACCATCTGAACAAAACAAATCAGCATCATTTGGCTTGATATGATTTAATTTCATGTAAATTGTTATTGTTTAATTTTTTGCAGTATAACTATCGAGCTACAGAGGTATTTTAAACTATCTTAAAAGAACTAGTAAGAAACCTTTTATAGTCATCAAGTCATCAAATAGAATTCGGAAAGAGACTTAATGAATTTGGGATTATATTTTGTCTGCTCTGTCAATGCTTGTGTGCGAGATACAGGTGCCATACAGTGATTTGGTTTGGGGAGGAATTCATACCATCATTCCCCCTCAGTTGACTCTCAGTTGACTGAACAAACACCCTGAATTTGTTCCCAAATGAAAGAAACTTTTATTTGCAATGCTCCAAACAGCTCTCCTAACACTGAGATCACCTCCAAACTGATGAATCATCTATCACCCATTAGTATCGTTTCCATAGAGGTCTCTCAAAACACAAGCAAATTAACCGAACATTTTCTCTGTTGTGGGTTTTCAAATGCACAGGTCGGCCTGTCGTTAAACAAAGCATCATATCATAGCGTATGTCTCCCCTACACTGTCTTTCATACTTTTTTTAAGTATCTCTTTATGCATCATTTGAGCAGTCTGTTGGTTCAGGTCTAAGGCCTTTGATGTAGTCATCCTAAAACAACTTTATCACATCCTCTCTCTGCCGAGACTCAACCAGCATGCCCACATCAAAAGGGGGGAAAAGGCAGTTATCATGTTCTCTCTCAGTTTGAAAGATGCCTTTTCAGGTGTAAAATTACGGTTGTTGGATGATCTCAGCTAGATGACATCACTAACTTGAGAAAAGAGCACACGTGATATTGTGACATTTTGGCCCCTGTCAGGTAGACACTGCTTTATGCTCCATTCTTTGAAACAGAGGCTGTCTCTGCTTTGCATCTGATACAGAGATGCCCTCTGTCCGTACAGGCTTGGGATATGCCATGCTGTTAAGTTGAATAAATGTGGTAACATATCTTTTTTCGTCTGGCTGAGACCTTTTTTTAATGTGAAACTACAAAGTGAAATAGGATACTACTACTGTAAATCTCAAGATAAGATAAAAATCTGAACAGGGCAAAGAATCTAAATGAAAATAGACTTGCTAACATGTGAACATTGACAACATGGTCTTCAGCAGTAGGAATCTTGATTATTTTGAAAACCGAGGATAACAAAATTTGTGAATGATGTTAATCACCAAACATCCTCGTATTTTTCACCTTTTACTGTCCACATTTTGAACCGATAAGCAAAGATTTATACAGCAAGACCACATTTTTGTCTCATATCAAACATGAGTTATAAGCAGTGGCAAAAGTGCCTATGATACAGCATATTCTGTCAGATTAATGTCTCATTCAATTTTGGACGTTTAACCAAAATTATTTGGTTAAGTTAAGGAAAACATAACTGATGGAGAGCAAACACTGACCACTCCTCTTGCATTTTACACGCTCCCCCTAACAGGAAGTTGAACAGCAGTTGATTTAACTTCTTGAAACAACTGACCTGTAATGAGAAGTCTAGCTTTTTTATGATAGCACTAAACGCATGTCTAAGGTTGCCAAGCATATAATTAAAGCCACAAATGTGAGCGTGCTGGAGGAGCCAAAGGAAAAGTCAGAGGATCAACGAAATCATTTGGTTACATGGTCAAGGACTGTGAATTTTGTTACAAATGAAATAGTATTCCATTTAGTTTTTATGTTCAGAAAGTTAAACTGGTCCCAATACCGCCCTTTTAGACACCATTGTTCACCATGGGTGGAAATCATGTTACTCCACCCCGATTAAAGAAAAACAGAAGTGTCTCCGGCAATAAATAATCATAGATCTGGCCTATGATACACAAAGACATCATTCTTTGAACAGACACCAGGAGAAATGAAGTAGAAAGCAGTGCAAGCATTTGCACATCCTTTATGCGCACTGACACTTCAACTATCCTGGTTCCAAGTTGTTTGAATTACATTAAAATGATAGAGTTTGCAATGATTCCTACATTTGGAAATAAAACCATTCGGGTGACTAGAATTGTTGAAAGCACTGTGCATCGTATTATCTCATAAAACTGTAATCTGTGTATAGTTTGCGCATTAGAATAATGATAATAATAATTCCAATTTGATTAGATTGTTTAAAATGATTTCCTGGGCAAGCTCTGCAACACTCATCCAAAATGAGATTTATTTAGTTTCTGCTTGAAGAATACATGACATTCAGATGGTTGTCCTCACCGGATTAGCAGGAGCCTACGCACGTCACAGCCTTTTGTCTTAAAGGTTAACACAACTTTGAGCTGTGTGACGGGGAGTACAACTCATCCTCTCACCACTGCTGAGTCACTACTGGCCCATCCAGGTGTGAATAAGACAACTCTGTGATCGCACACACGCACTCCCACAAGTGAGCACACACACACACACACACACACATATGCAAATGCACTTAAATGAGCAGACACACGCCATGCCAAAATGCTCACACATGCATGCATATGGAGACAGTCCCATGCTCCCCCTGACTTGCAGATAGTGATACACTCTGTGTATGTGTGCATGCGTGCATATGTGTGTTTACTCCCACTTTCCCCACTTGGCTCTCATTTCACGCCACACTATTGTCCTCTCTCTCTCACTCTGCTGATTGACTTCCTCTTCCTCTGAGTTGTTGTTAATGTCACCTTCCCTGCCGGCGCCCACACACTCGTGTTATCAACGGCTTCTCATCCGGGTTACGAAAA